TTGAAAGGGTGGAGAAAGGTCGCGCCTGCCACCAGCCTGCAGGCGCTGCCTTGGATCATCCTGGCGGCTCTGGCGATGCACGTGGCGCAGCAGGGGATGCGGGACATGGCGTTGTACCGCGCGGTGTGCTCGGCGTGCTACCTGAGGCCCTCGGAGGGTTTGAGCATCCGCGCGAAGGATGTGGTCCCCCGGGTCTCGGGAGCGGGGCACGTTCATCGGCGCTACGCGGTGATCATCAGGGGGTCCGACGAGAAGGTGCCCGACGAGGTCGGGGTCTACGACAACAGTCTCATCCTCGACCAGGGGTATCTGCCCAACCTCGGCGCGGCGCTGCACGGGCGGGCCCAAGGAAAGGCAAGGGGCGCCTTCCTGTTCGACTTCCAGCTGAAGGAGGTGCACGACTGGATGAACCAGGCAGCTCTCGACCTCGGGCGGGGCAACCGCCTGTCGCTCTACCAGTGCCGGCACGGAGGAGCCGCCCACGACCTCGTCGGCAAGCACAGAGACAGGGCCACGGTGATGGCCCGCGGCAGGTGGCAGGCGGAGAGCTCGGTTCTTCGGTATACCAAGATCGGAAAGGTTCAGAATATGCTCGCGATGCTCGTGCCTCACGTCCTCGACCATGTGAAAAAGTGCGCGGCCGTTCTCGACGACGCGCTGATGGGGCGGAAGGCCACCCTCCAGCCGCCGCGGGCCGCAAGGAGGTGAGGCGCTCGCGGCGCAGGTCGCCAGCTCCGCGCTCGCGTGGAGCTCGATGGGGGCTCGTTGGGCGCCGCGGGTGTCTTGAAGTCTGCTCGGGATCGGGCCGGTTGACTGCGTCGTTGAGGGGCCATGGCGTCCGTGCAGAGGCTTGGACGTTCTTAACAATGTCGACCTGTTGGTCAAGAAGAACCAGCAGAGAGTCTGGTTCGGGCTGCCCTGTAATACTTGGAGCAGAGCTAGAAGATGGGGAGGTACTGGTCCAGGGCCTCTTCGGGATGAACAAAAGTATATCATGGAACTCCCTGGGCAGGGTGAAAAAGACGCCAGGAAGGTCAAGGAGGGGAACCAGTTGATGTGGTTTGTCGCTCGCTGTTGCCAGGCCGCGTCAAAAGCTGGGGGCCCCTGGACTATCGAGAACCCTCGCACGAGTCGTGTCTGGAAAGCCCCGGTTTTGAAAAAGCTCGCCAAGATGAAGCATTTCGGGTCCGAGGTTCTTTCTCCCGCGTTTGTGCACTTGGATTTCTGCCAGTACGGTGAAGCTTGGAAAAAGAGTACGACGTTGTTATCCCACGGTTTTGGTCTGTCCCCTGCTGGCCGCAGGTGTACTACGGCAGATGGGCTGTGTTCTCGGACAGGCTGTCGCCACACCGTCTTGGAGGGGAAAGATAGCTGTGGAAATTGGAATACGTGACGTGCTCAAGCTTATCCTAAAGAGCTGACTAAATTGCTAGCATGATTAATTTATAAACGCTTTTTAAGCAGTCCACTTCGTGGATAAGGGAGATCTCCAGGCCTCACCAGACCAAACTGTAAGCGTTTGCAGCCGCCCATGGCGGCTGTCCGTCAGCTCGTGCCATCAACCTTGTAACCTGCCGCGTAGCCCCGCTATGCGTCTGAAAATGTTGTCTGGCCAAGGGGGAGGGGTAGATCATGAGAGTGCGGTGCACAGCATTGATCGTGCCTCCCCGCGGCCGTTTTCAACCCTCAAGGTTTTTTGCTGCGCCATCCCGAACCCCGTCCTGCCTCCCCTCTCTCTCTCTCTGTTCAATTGGGGGAGATCTCCAGGCCTCACCAGACCAATCTGTAAGCGTTTGCAGCCGCCCATGGCGGCTGTCCGTCAGCTCGTGCCATCAACCTTGTAACCTGCCGCGTAGCCCCGCTATGCGTCTGAAATGTTGTCTGGCCAAGGGGGAGGGGTAGATCATTCTCATGATGGCCCCGTCATGCCAATCCGAGTCCCCCGTACCCGAGCCTTACATCTCCCCGATAAGACGCCTCCCCCCCTGTCCCTGGGCCCTTGTGCGCGACACCCAAGACGTGTTCCCTGGAATGGGGGTCCAGGGATCGAGTTCGAGCGCAGTTGGGCCAAGAGCTTGTTTTAGAATGGATTGCACCAGAGAGAAGCCCCAATCAGTGGATGGTTTGATCGATGAAATCCCAGAGAAAACCTAATCAGTGGATGTTTTGATGAGATCGATCATGAGATCGATGATGAATCGTGCGGTCGTCAAAGGGATCGATAAGGCGATCGACCGGGAACCCGGGAATCGGGAACCCACCGAAATCGGCCCAGAACCAACAACCAGGAACCCGGAGCCGGGAACCCAGGAACCCGGCCGGTCACCAGAATCGGCGGGACACGTTCGCTAAATTTGTCAATCTCCGCTAGGACCCCTTCAGTGCAAGCACTGATTGGGGAATTCTGGCCAGTGTGCTTGCATGCAGGGCGGGGGGGGGCGGCTCCCAGGCGAGCCCCTCAAGGAAAGTTGGGGATCACTCAAGCCGAAAGTGGTTTGGGCGCTCTCCCAGACCAGCACTGAGTGACAAGGATGTGCGGGGAGGGGGAGCAACCCAAATTCCATGCAAGTAAACTTGGCATAATCGGCATGCGGAGAGGCTCACGGCTGGATACGCCACGAAGATCGGTTCAGGATGGACCTCCCGAGGGGTCCGGGGATTGATTGGGTATGAGCGTAGTTGGGCCAACCATCCGAAGCGGGGACTTCCCCATATTCACCGCTTGGAGCCCGGCAGGCGTTGGAAAACATCGGGCTCCCTGGGGCCAGCATGTCTCCATACTTATCCACCGGCTGCTACGAATGGACTCGCGCCTTGCAAATCGGGTTGACCCAAAAGGGGGTCTAGCGACAAAGGGGTGGTGCAATAGATTTGTGGGGCTGCAACATATGGGGCGTGCAGGACATTCCCGGGCGCAGATGTAGTGCAATACAGTACCCTGACATCCGATGTTGCAAAACACTTGCAACACCGCTGAAAATCACGCCCAGATCCCCGGACCGTATCTTTCTGCGCCATTTTTCGAGCAGGATCGATCTGTGAGGGTCCCGGGGCCAGAAATTGAGCTATAACCCCCTCTGTGAAAAAATTGCAACGCCAGGATCTCAGGGTAGGCGCAATACGATGCAATACAATTCTCTGGCGCACTACATTTGCAACACAATTGACCCCCCAGATCTATTACACCACCTCCTTTCAGCTGGACTTGAGTCGGGCCAGTCTGTCTACGGGGAATATTCACAAATAGTAAATCCGCCGCCCCCTTTTGCTTTAGCAAAGGGTTGCCTGGCGTGCCAGACTATATGGGTTTTGGTTTTGGTTCTTTTTCCAAAAGAACTCTCCCAGTGGGTTTCGGCCCGACCCGCCGGCCACCCGTAGATCGCCCAATTCCCGGAAAACCCTCCTAGACGGCTCAAGATGGCCTCCAAGATGGCCACGTTGGCCCAAGATGGCCTCCACGATGGTCCAAGATGGCCTCCAAGTCCGGCCAAGATGGTCCAAGACGGCTTCCAAGATGGCCCAAGAGAGTCCAAGACGGCCCAAGACGGCCCCCCAGAGGCCTCCCAGACGGCCCAAGAGGCCTCCAAGAGGTCCTCCAGGAGGGCCCGAAGAGGCCAAATTCTTTGCTTTTCCATAGGTTTTTGAAGGATTTTGGAATTTGTTTCTTCTCGGCATTCCGACAGCTCAAGACGGCCCAAGAGGCGCCCAAGATCGCCCAAGAGGCCCCCAAGAGGGCCCCATGACGGCCCAAGTGGCCTCCAAGACGGTCCCAAGAGGGCCCCAAGACGGCCCAAGAGGCCTCCAACTCGCCCAAGATGGCCTCCAAGACGCCTTAGATGGCCTCCAAGACGGCCCCGAAGCGCCCCAAGAGGGTCCCCGTTGGCCCAGAAAGGCCCCCAAGACGGCTCCCGACGGCGTCAGACGTGCCAGGAACCCACCAGGATTGCCGAAGTGGGCTCGAAGCTAGCCCTAGACGGCCCAAGGGGCCCCCAAGAGGGCCTCCAGGAAGGCCAGAAGAGGCCTAAAACATGGATGTGTTTTTGACGGATTTGGACATATGCTTCTTTTCTGCCTTCCGACGGCCCGACACGGCCCAAGAGCCCCCACAGATCGCCGAAAGATCACCCAAGAGGCTTCCAAGATGGCCCCAGAACGGCCCAAGAGGGCCCCAAGACGGCCCCCAAGACGGCACAGGAGGCCTTTAAGACGCCCAAGATGGCCTCCAAGACAGCCCTGGAGCATTCCAAGAGGGACCCAAGTCGGCCCATAGAGGCCCCCCAAACGGCTTCCGACGGCGTCAGACGGACCAGGAGCCCACCAAGACGGCCGAACATGGCCCTAAGATAGCCCAAGACGGCCCAAGAGGCCTCCAAGAGGGCCTCCAGGAAGGCCCGAAAAGGCCAAAATCATTGATTTGCCATGGGTTCTTGAAGGATTGTGGCATTTGCTTTTTTTCTGCCTTCCGACGACCCGAGATGACTCAATGCCCACAAAGATCGCCCAAGAGGCCCAAGACACGGCCCCAAGAGGCCCCCAAGACGGCCCAAGAGGTCTCCAAGACGCTCAAGATAGCCTCCAAGACGGCCCAAGAGCCCTCCAAGACGTCCTCCAAGAAGGCTCGAAAGGGTCAGAATGGCTTCCAGACGGCCAAGATGACCCCTTCAAGATGCCCACGTGTTCCCCGAAGGCTTTCCAAACCGATTCAGGGAACACGTGGTCCGATAGCTTGGCAGGCCTCTGGCCACAACCTTCGGCCACATAGGCGCTTCCAAAAAGGCAGGAGGCGGCGGTGATTCGCTGTAGGCGTCTTCGATGAACAGTCTGGGGACGATGTTTGAGCATTTTTGTATTTTTTGGGAAGGGTTCCTTATGTTTCCTCTAGAGTCCCCCCGTAGGGGGGACATGCCCGACCTAAAGCTGGACCCCCTTTTGGGTCGACCCAAGTCAAGCGGGGCCGGGCCGCCGCCCTCTCGGCTCTTGCCCTCCTCCGGCTTGCAAAGGCAGACCCTTCGCGGCCCCGCGTGCGGAATTCAGGCCCACGGGACGGGCGCAGGCGCGGGCCCGCCACACCGCAAGGACTGGCGAAGCGTCCTGGCTCGCCTGCAGGCCTACCGAAGAATGTTCTCAGAACCTTGTTGTGGTCGGCACGGCACTGTGCGAAATCTACTTGGCACTTTCCCTGGCCGAGTCTGTCTTGCTTTGGCACATCGGGTTTATGTTCTAAGAACGCTGCTTTCTGTTCTTAGAGCATGTTTGGGTTCTAAGAACATTTCTTAGAGCATGTTTGGGTTCTAAGAACCTTTCGTGGCAGGCCCATAGGAATGCCGGGACGGTCGGTCCCTGCTCAAACACCGGTGGCCACACCGGTGGCGCCGTCCACGCATGTCGGGCGGGTGGTAATCTTAAGTCGGGCCTGTCCCTCTACAGGCGGAATATGCAAAAACAGTCAAACAATAGTCTTGGGGCGATTGTTCTATGATTTTTCCGTATTTTTGAATATCATTCGACTGTTTTGTTGCCCAAAATCCGCCTGTAGGGGGACATGCCCGACCTGATGGTAATGGGGGTGACCTAAATGGGGGGTGAAGAAGGGGGCCCTGGCCCTGTTGGGCCCCTTTGGGAGCCAGCTGGTGCCCGAAATGGGCCCTAAGATGCCCCTTGAGGATCCTTTTCTTCACCTCCTCCTGCCTGTGAAGACGGATGAGGAGGATGAGAAGGATCAGGAGGAGGCGGAGGAGGAGGAGGAGGAGGAGGAGGAGGAGGAGGAGGAGGAGCTGGATGAGGAGGAGGTGTTTCCCTGTTCCATCTCCCGCCCCCTCATTGAGGTCGCCCCCCGTCAGTGCCACCCGCCCGAGCGTGCAGCCTGCAGAGAGCGTCGGCTCGTCGTCGCGGCCGCCCGCGCGAGACCGGAGCGGGCAAGGCCTGCTGTGCGTGAGGTGCGGCAGTTGCTGAAAGACGCCCTGCGCAGAGCGGGGGCTGGGCGTTGTTGAGAAGAGGAAGGGGGCTCTCGGACGTTTTCGAGACCCGAGAAGACAATAAACATCAACGTTTGGCGCTCCTCGTGGATTTTTAGGATTCGCGCTGGTCCCCCCCCGGCGGCGCCTCCGGCGCCGCCCCTGGCGCGCCCCGCGCGCCAGGGAGGGGGGTCCAGCGCAGATCCCAGAAATCCGCGCGGAGTGCCAGAAGTTTCTGCCTATGGCGTTGAGTTCTTCTTCTATTTCGGACGTTCTCGAAACCCAGGGTTAAGTCGGGCTTGTCCCTCTACAGGAAATATCTTCAAAAATCGTATAATGACAGTCTGGGGACAATTTTTTGAGTATTGTTTGGCCATTTAGGTGTATGTTTGAAGTATTCTTTATTTTTCGTCCGAAATCCCACTGTAGGAGGACAGGCCCGACTTAACGTTATGTTTTTTCTGCTATGTCGGACGTGTTTGAAACCCAGGGGGAGGGGGGTCCATCATGTGCGCTTCGTCGAGGGCGCGTTCCAGGGGTGCCGGATCGTCCCGATCCTGCGCTGGAGGGCCAAGTGGAGACCCGAAGACCAGACCACGGGGCGACGTTCGGGGGGGGATAGGCTCAAGTCGGGCCGGCCTCTACAGGGGTATATTCGAAAATAGTTCACAAATAATAGTCTGGGTGCGATTTGTTTAACTCTTTCCGCGAATTGTTTGAATATTGTTTTAATACTTTTATTTTTCGTCCAAAATTCCCCTGTATGAGGACAGGCCCGACTTAACGTTTCGTTTTTCTGGTATGTCGGACGTGTTTGAAGCCTCAGGGGGGAGGGTCCATCATGTGCGCTTCGTCGAGGGCGCGCTCCAGGAGTGCTGGATCGTCCCGATAGGGCGCTGGAGGGCCTTACCCGAAGACCACGGGGCGACGTTTGGGGGGGATGGGCTCAAATCGGGCCTGTCCCTCTACAGAGGGAATATTCTTAATAGTTACACAAAACAGTCTGGGTGCGATTTGCTTGACTATGATTTCAGCGATGTTTGAATCTATGTTTGTTATTTTTGTTGTCCATCCAGTTACCCCCCAGTAGGAGGACAGGCCCGACTGAACGTTTTGTTTTTCTGGTACGTCGGACGTGTTTGAAACCCAGGGGGGGGGTCCATGATGTGCGCTTCGTGCGTTGGAGGGCCAAGTTGTGACCCGAAGACACGGGGCGACGTTCGGGGGGGGGGGAAAGGCTCAAGTCTGTTCTGTCCCTCTACGGGGAGTATCCAAAAACAGTTCAAGCAAATCGTCAGGGTGGGATTTGTTTGACTGTTTTTGCGATTTCTTTGAGTATTGATTTACTATTTGTTATTGTGCGTCCAGAATCCCACTGTAGGAGGACAGGCCCGACTTAGCGTTTTGATTTTCTGGTATGTTGTATGTCGGACGTGCTTGAAACCCAGGGGGGGGGGTCCATCATGTGCGTTTCGTCGAGGGCGCGCTCCAGGGGTGCTGGATCGTCCCGATCGGGCGCTGGAGGGCCAAGTTGTGACGCAAAGACCACGGGGCGGCGTTCGGGGGAGGGGTTTGGCTCAAGTCGGGCCTGTCCCTCTGCAGGGGGAATATTCAAAAATAGTTGAACAAATAGTATGGGTGCGATTTGTTTGACTATTGTTGCGATTTGTTTTGGGTTTTTTCTTCAATTTTTTTATTTGTCATCCAAAATCCCCCTACAGCAGGACAGGCCCGACTGAACGTTTTGTTTTCCTGGTACGTCGGACGTGTTTGAAGCCCAGGGGGGGAGTCTATCATGTGCGCTTCGTCGAGGGTGCGCTCCAGGGGTGCTGGATCGTCCCGATCGGGCGCTGGAGGGCCAAGTTGTGACTCGAAGACCACGGGGCGGCGTTCGGGGGGGGGGTTCGGCTCAAGTCGGGCCTGTCCCTCTGCAGGGGGAATGTTCAAACATGGTGTTTCAAACTATAGTTCGGGGACGATGTCCCTACCATTGTTTTTTATGTGTTCGCGCATTTTTGGGGGTTGTTGTTTTATGTTTCGTCCACCAACGCCCTGTAGGAGGACATGCCCGACCTAAGGATTGGCTCAGGGGAGGACGCACCGACCCCCAGCAGCCCATGGTTCGCCGTGCGGTCTCGCCATCGGGGGCGTACGCCGATCTACCGGCGATTTATGTCGCCGATGTTGGCTCGGAGTTCCCCCGTCCTGAGCCAGTCCCCTCTTCCTATCAGGAGGGGAAAAGCACGCAGACACAATGCTCTGTCGATTCCCAGAACACATGGGGAAAAAGATGGGAAGTGGGGGGGGGGGCGGGGGAAAGCGCAACCCCAGAAGATATGGGAAACTATGGGGGATCCTGTTATTGGTGTCTCTTTATGTGTGTGTGTGTGTGTGTGTGTGTGTGTGTGTGTGTGTGTGTCCCAGGGCCCCTTCCTGCTACTCCCCCTCGGGGAGGGGGGGGGGCCCGAGAGGCAGGCTGGGCGCGCTCGCGCCACAGTACCGCTCCTTTCCGGCCCGTCACCTTCGCATGGCGCTGCCCACCGCCTGAGTCTGCCGCCGGGGGTCCTGGCTTTCCCTTTGAGTCGGGCGTGTCCCGCTGCAGGGGGGATCTTCCAAAATAGTCGAACCATAGTCTGGGGACGAGTTTGTTGTTTGGCAATGTGTGGGTTTTTGTGGGGGGTATTGTTAATATTTCGCCCACAATCCGCCTGTTAGGGGACGGGCCCGACCTGAGCTCACCTGGGTCCCTCACATGAGCCCATCGTGCGATGCGCAATAAGAGAGGGGATCCGAGGACATAGGAGGAGGAGGAGGAGGAGGAGGAGGAGGAGGATGAGGAGGAGGAGGACGAGGACGAGGAGGAGGAGGAGGAGGAGGAGGAGGAGGAGGGGAGGAGGAGGAGGAGGAGGAGGAGGGGAGGAGGAGGAGGAGGAGGGAGGGACGAGGACGAGGAGGAGGAGGACGGGGAGGAGGAGGAGGGGGAGGGGGAGGGGGAGGAGACGGATGACCAGGAGGAGAGCAGGACCAGAAGGATGAGCAGAGCATTAGGAGGGGCGGGAGGAGCAGGAAGACCAGGGGGAGGGGTGGAACTGAGGGTGGCGGCATTGACGAGGAAGGAATCGAATCTAGAAACGTGGCCCGCGCTGGGGCGAGAGCGCCATTCTGAGTGAAGGAAGCAAAGCACCCATCTTGAGATGTGGCCAACGCTGATGTCGGAGCACCATGCGTGAACTGCCGAAAACGTTACGGTTGGAATTATCGGGGCGAAGGACCCGATCAGATGTGGGCACGAGTGCCGCAATGCAAGTGGGACGAAGGAGGTGCAGGTCCCTATTGGACAAAACGTTTGGGGAGTGTGCAGAATTGCGTGCGGGGCTGCCACGTGGTCCCTGCCACTGGGGCCTTCAGTGGAGCTCCCTGTGGGCCGACGAACGTGTGAGGCGTGAGGCGCCGATGGCAGCCGCCATACGGAACTTGTTGCTGGGGCCTTCGGTGGAGCTCCTTACGGGGCCACTGAACATGTGCGGGCCGTGCTGACTTTTGGTGCGAGGCCGCCATGCGGAACCTGACACTTAGATTTTCAGTGGACCTGCCTTTGGGGCCACGGAACATATGAGGGGTGTGTCGACATGAGAAAGGGGCCACCATGCGGGGCCGTCGGTGGATTCCTCTTTGGGGCTACGAAACGTCTGAGGGGTGTGGGTGCGGGGCCGCCATGCGGACCCAGCCGCTAAGGCCTTCGGTTGAGCTTTCTGTGGGGCCACGAAACGTGTAAGGGGTGTGCCGGGATGAGCGGGGGGCCGCCCTGAGGTCCCTGCGGCTGGAGCCTTCGGTGGAGCTCCGTGTGGGACCACTAAACGTATGAAGGGTGTGCCCAATTGGGTGCGGGGCCGCCATGTGAACCCTGCCGCTGGGGCTTTCGTGCCAACGTAAACATGCGGAAGGCAGAGGCAAAGATGGGAGGAGGGAGGATGGGGAGGAGGAAAAAGGAAGGACGCGGGGCGCCATCTTTTTTAACGAGGACCAACACCACGAGATGGTTGGTGAAAGCAGTAAGGGCATCGCATTTGGGGCAAAGTCTGTAACAGAAACACAGCATCAGGGGATAGAGGAGAGTAGTGTTCAGATTAGGTAGTTGCAAGTTGATGGTTACAATCAAAAGGAGGCTGTCGGTTTCATTGCAAGTAGAGTTACCACGACCAACGCCTCTACGATGGTCATTCCCATGGGGTATGTTGCCATCGCTGCATCCAACGCAGTTGATGTTTCTGCCGCTTCTGAGTTCGCTACCCTTCCTACCCACTTGCGTATGGCAACGCTTCGCCGCCATGCTCCAGCGTGTGACTGTGGTCGTTGCACGACTGACCCCGTGCCTCGTACGCGACGTGAGTGGGGATTCTGAGGGGCGTCTTGGGGAGCCGTGCGAAAACCCTAGGAGATTGCCTGGGCAGCGTCGGGCAGCAGTTTGCGGCCACAAGTGGAGGACGGTTACGTATACCACAGTAAGACAAGTACACCTCTTGGCGAGTAAATGCGCGGCGCCCCAGCGCCCACTCCCAGCCACGCGCGCGGCCACCTTCACAGGCGAAATGGGGGTCGCGTCGCTTCGCCTCGTCTGGGAACGTCTTGGGGCGCGCTGAGGTTGTTTGGGGAGGGGGGGTCGTGGACCCCCTTGGGATGGTCTCCTGTCTTGAGCCGTCCTCGGGTCCATCTTCGGGCCCCATCTTGGGAGTCTTGAGAAAACGAAGGTTGAGATCCTTCGCACTCTGAAGCGCCGACCGCACGCGTTATACGTTCCAGTTGCGCTCTTTGTTTGTGCCTCCCGGGAGCTCCCCAGAGTGCTCGTCGGGAGACGCGGAGAAGCCGTTTTGAATATGTCCGGACCCCCCGCACGAGATTTTGGACTCAGGGGTGGGGGCAAGGGGGAGCCAGGGGCAGCGGTAAGGGGGGGGACAGGCTCAGGGATCTGGTGCCAGCGATCAGTATACCTTCATTTGGTAGCAAATCATGGGAGCCGTGTATGTCCTCGTCACTCCGTCTTCAGAGTCGTGCGCTAGCGTCTGGAAATCCAGGAG